TTAGTACTGAATCCCTGTCTATGATGTTTATATTCTTTGCTATAATTCATTTGCTTAAAACATTTATCTTCGTCTCCCCCACTCCCCCCATCCCCACCAAACCCATTTCCATGAAGTTTTTCCCTCGTCTCTAGCGGTATAAAATTAATTATCAAGAAATGCCACTTGCAGTTTCAAATTACGTTCAACTATAACATATAGTTTTTATGTTCCTAATAACCCTTTTAATAGCGGGATCGTACTTTGAACATCACCATCATCATCATTATCATTCCACTCGCCAAATGACGTTAATATTTCTCCACAAATTTTGTTTATTGTTATTTTAAATTGACATTGCTGACAATATTCAACCATTCTACGCTCTTAGACTATCGTTCTTTCCTTCTGCCTCTGCTTCTTCTACCATTGATATTTCTAGTTATCACTTTGCTGCCAGATGCCATGCTTCTTTTAATATAACCAAGTGCAACGATTTGTCGCTTTCTTATTATCACATTTAGTGTTCTACTTTCGTCAGAACCTTGAAGACAATCGTGGCTAGTTTTAGTCACGTTTTTATTATGTTTTATGTAGACTATATTCGATATGTCATTTAATGTGTCAGTAACCCTCTCTATAGCTGCACATTTGAAAGTGTCTTCTTCTTCTTCTGCCTTTCTATCTCCTAATGGATCATAGGCACTCAACCAACTCACGCCAAGTCGTTCTATCCTTCGCCATTGCATGGAGCTCTCCCCATGTCCTCCCCATCTTTCTAACTTCATTCTCCAGCTCTCTTCTCCGTGTGTTTTTTTTTTTTGGCCTTCCTTTATTCCTATGCCCCTGTGGGTTCCAATGCAAAGACATTCTAGTTATGCTGTTCTCTTGTTTTCTCAGTGTGTGTCCTGTCCAACGCTAGCGGCTTTTCCTCATCGCTTGGTCCACTGGAGCCTGTTTAGTTCTCTCCCAAAGCTCCACATTAGTTATACTATCATACGATTTAATTCCCTCTATTCTGCGCAGGCACCAGTTAATGAATGTCTGTAATTTATTAGTAATTGCCTTGGTTGTTCTCCATGTTTTCGCCCCATACAAAAGTACTGATTTGACATTAGAAATAAAAAATTTTAGTTTAGTATTTCTTTTAATTTCTTTTGACCTCCACAAATTCCCTAGTGCTATGAAAGCTCCTCTTGCATTTTGTATTCTTATTTTAATATGTCTATCAGTTCCTCCATCTTTATCTACATTACTGCCTAAATAGGTGTACAACTCCACGTCTTGGAGTGGGGTGCCATTAAGAGAAACCACATAACTATTTGCCTGATTTATTCTCATTATCTGTGTCTTTCCTTTATGGATTTTCAGACCAAGCTGCTGTGATCTCGCATTAAGTATATTTAATTTATCTTGTATCTGATTCCATGAATGGGATATCATCAGCGAAGTCCAGATCATTAAGCTGTTTTGTAGGGGTCCTCTGAATTCCCTTCTTGGTGTTAGCAGTTACTGTTTTCATAATCCAGTCTATAGCCAGTAAAAATAAGAAAGGCGACAAAAGACATCCCTGTCGCACACCTGTTTTTATTTCAAATGCATCTGTTAGCTTTCCCTCATGAAGAACTCGACATTTCATGTCTTTATATGTTGCCTTTACTAAGTTGATAATTTTCTGTAGGATTCCACAGTGACCCATCAATTTCCTGAGAGATTTCCTATCAATGCTGTCAAATGCTTTTCCATAGTCTATAAATCCAATGTAAAGTGGTGAGTTCAGTTCAATGCTTTGCTCTATTATAATACATAATGTGGCGATCTGGTCAGTACAGGATCTGTTTGACCGAAAACCTGCCTGTTCATCTCTTAGTTTTTGTTATCAATAGCATCTTTTAATCTTTCCAAAATAATTCTACTTAATATTTGTCCAGGAACTGACAGCAACATAATTCCTCTATAGTTTTCATACTCCTGTAGATCACCTTTTTTTTTGGGCAGTTTCACAAGATATCCTTCTCTCCAGTCTGCTGGTATTTCTTCGGTCTCCTAGATTTTGCTGAATAATCTATGTAGCAATTCTGTTGATGTGCTTATGTTGGCCCTAATGGCTTCATCTGGGATACCTGCCGCCTTTACTTCCTTGAGAAGATTGATAGCTTTTCTAATTTCCTCTTTGAATGGTATCTCACAGTTGATATCCAGTTCCATTTCTAAAGGCTGGATATCTGGGGGAACCTCTGGACCTGGTCTATTTAGAAGCATTTTAAAATATTCAACCCATCTGTCCATTTGATCTTTAGTGTTAGTAAGTACCTTTCCTTGACTATTTTTGATCAATCCAGTTAGCTGACTAGTAGTAGTTTACCTAATAATTTTCTTGTGCTACTGTAAAGTTCTCTGGTGTTTCCTTTTGCTGCTGCTGTCTCCGCTTCTTGTGCTAGATCATTGAGATATTTCACTTTATCTGCCCTTATAAGCCTCGTAACTTCCTTATTGGCTTCTCTGTATTTATGCTGAGCTCTGGCTTTAGCAGCTCTAGTTTTGCTATTGTTTAAATCTTCCTCTTTACTTTTCCTATCTTTAATCAATTTAATGGTTTCTGGCGTTATCCACTCTTTATTTTTCCGTTCTTTCTTGCCAAGAACTTCTACGCAAGATTCATTCCAGATTCCTTTGATCTGATCCCAGCAGACTTCAGTGCTGTCATCTTCAGCTAACTGCCGCAACACCTGGTACTTAGTATAGACTGTAACTGAAAACTGTTCCTTAACTTCTTTATCCCTGAGATGACCTACATTATATTGGTTTTTATGATTATAAGATGTTATTTATCTTTTTAGTTTCAACTTGATTTTACTTACCACCAGGAAATGAGCAGTAAATACATCGGTACCTCTGAAAGCCCTAACATCGTAAAGGGATGATCTAAACTTTTTGTTCCAACTATGTTATGAGGAGAGAGAAAGAGTTCATGAGAGTTGGTGCACAAAATCGGATAATAGATGGGTGAATGAGAGTGTAAGTGTTCAGGAGAGAGAGAGAGAGGGGGGGGGGGCATAAAGAGATACCATTAAAAAAAAACAGGGAAAATCTGGAGTGGTCCATTGTACACCCTCTGCTTTACTTCCTTAAACATTTTCAAGTGCTCATTTTGTCTGAACAGTGTTGTAAAAAGTGCCTCCAAGATAGGGAACTGGAACAGATGACCACCTGGCATGTAGACAAGATCAGTGAACCTAGCTTCGTAGGGAGACTTGTGTGAGCTGTCATAGAGAGACTTGTGTGGGCTGTCATATAGAGACTTGTGTGGGCTGTCATAGAGAGACTTGTGTGGGCTGTCATAGAGAGACTTGTGTGGGCTGTCATAAAGAGACTTGTGTGGGCTGTCATAAAGAGACTTGTGTGGGCTGTCATAGAAAGACTTGTGTGGGCTGTCATAGAGAGACTTGTGTGGGCTGTCATAAAGAGACTTGTGTGGGCTGTCATAGAGAGACTTGTGTGGGCTGTCATAGAGAGACGTGTGGGCTGTCATAGAGAGACTTGTGTGGGCTGTCGTAGAGAGACTTGTGTAGGCTGTCATAAAGAGACTTGTGTGGGCTGTCATAAAAAGACTTGTGTGGGCTGTCATAGAGAGACTTGTGTGGGCTATAATAGACTTGTGTGGGCTGTCATAGAGAGACTTGTGTGGGCTGTCATAAAGAGACTTGTGTGGGCTGTCATAGAGAGACTTGTGTGGGCTGTCATAGAGAGACTTGTGTGGGCTGTCATAGAGAGACTTGTGTGGGCTGTCATAAAGAGACTTGTGTGGGCTGTCATAGAGAGACTTGTGTGGGCAGTCATAGAGAGACTTGTGTGGGCTGTCATAGAGAGACTTGTGTGGGCTGTCATAAAGATACTTGTGTGGGCTGTCATAAAGAGACTTGTGTGGGCTGTCATAAAGAGACTTGTGTGGGCTGTCATAAAGAGACTTGTGTGGGCTGTCATAGAGAGACTTGTGTGGGCTGTCATAGAGAGACTTGTGTGGGCTATAATAGACTTGTGTGGGCTGTCATAGAGAGACTTGTGTGGGCTGTCATTGAGAGACTTGTGTGGGCTGTCATTGAGAGACTTGTGTGGGCTGTCACAAAGAGACTTGTGTGGGCTGTCATAAAGAGACTTGTGTGGGCTGTCATAAAGAGAATTGTGTGGGCTGTCATAGAGAGACTTGTATGGGCTGTCATAGAGAGACTTGTGTGGGCTGTCATAGAGAGACTTGTGTGGGCTGTCACAAAGGGACGTGTGTGGGCTGTCATAGAGAGACTTGTGTGGACTGTCATAGAGAGACTTGTGTGGGCTATTATAGACTTGTGTGGGCTGTCATAAAGCGGCGTGTGTAGGCTATTATAGAGAGGCTTGTGTGGGCTATCATAAAGGGGCTTGTGTGGGATGTCATAGAGAGACTTGTGTGCAGCAGCAGCAACAGCAGCAGTGGCAGAAGCAGGTGTAGTAGAAGTTGTAGTGGTATAGTAGCAGAGTAGGTTGTGCTGTTGTAGCTGTCCGATTAGCAATAGTGATCTTACTGTGGTAGTAGTAATAGTAGTAGTAGTAGTAGCAGCAGCAGCAGTAGTAGTAGTAGTAGTAGTATTACTAGTAATAGTAGTAGTAGTAGTAGTAGTAGTAGTAGTAGTAGTAGTAGTAGTAGTAGTAGTAGTAGTAGTAGTAGTAGTAGTAGTAGTAGTAGTAGTAGTAGTGGTGGTGTTGGTGGTGGTGGTGGTAGTAGTAGTAGTAGTATTTGTTGTTGTTCTTGTTGTTGTTGTTGTATCAGCAGCAGCATTGACTGTAAAACTGGTCGTAGTTGTTTTGGTGATGGTAATAGTACCACTGGATAGTCTTTGTCTTATTTTATTAATGTAGGGTTTTTCTTTAATTCGGTAATTAATTTTTTTTGTGTGGCTTTTCTACTGACTATGGATGTGAATTCATTGTGTAAACTTTTTTTTTTTAATCTTCAATTTTTGTTTTCTCTTTTCTTCCCATTTCAGAACTAGAATGTCCTCTTACACATCAGATAAAAACCAGCTGTCTGTGGCTTCCAACGTTCCCAAATCCCATTTCAGGTAATAATAAGGAATGATCTCATGTATAATAATAATAATAACAATAATAATAGTAAGAAGAAGAAGAAGAAGAAGAAGAAGAAGAAGAAGAAGAAGAAGAAGAAGAAGAAGAAGAAGAAGAAGAAGAAGAAGAAGAAGAAGAAGAAGAAGAAGAAGAAGAAGAAGAAGAAGAAGAAGAAGAAGAAGAAGAAAAAGAAGAAGAATAAGAAGAAGAAGAAGAAGAAGAAGAAGAAGAAGAGGAAGAAGATAAAGAAAAAGAAGAAGAAGAAGAAGAAGAAGAAGAAGAAGAAGAAGAAGAAGAAGAAGAAGAAGAAGAAGAAGAAGAAGAAGAAGAAGAAGAAGAAGAAGAAGAAGAAGAAGAAGAAGAAGAAGAAGAAGAAGAAAAAGAAGAAGACGACGAAGAAGAAGAAAAAGAAGAGAAAGAAGAAAAAGAAGAGAAAGAAGAAGAAGAAGAAGAAGAAGAAGAAGAAGAAGAAGAAGAAGAAGAAGAAGAAGAAGAAGAAGAAGAAGAAGAAGAAGAAGAAGAAGAAGAAGAAGATAAAGTAGATGAAGATGAAGAAAAAGAAGAAGCATTTCTTACAGTTGTTCAACATGTGACCACGACCCACTGATGAATCGCTTAGAATGATGATGATAGCGATTGCACATGTAAAAGTTGTAACTGACATTAAATGAAAGTGCACCTGGTCCTGTTAGTTGTTTGCCCGCATCACAGGTCACACCGTGGACAGAGCCGACATGTCTAAAGCCCTAGGAGAATGAAAGGAGAACCAAGGACTCCCAGCTGACTGAGTTAACTTGACCTCGTTTTTGACTACTCGTATGTGTTTAACTGACACGTGCACTCAGTGGCATACTAAGCGCGCGGCGGAAGAGATTGGGAGTAGTGTGGCAAGGTCAGATAGTACCCGGTGCGGAAAATCTTCTGTCATATCCCTCATTTCGTTTACATTATCCCCATCTCGGAGATTTTGTGGTGAATGTAATGACAAGTACAACAGTACAGGGGTTTTAGGATTTGAAATTAATGCCGACTAGCACTAACCCTAAACCCCACCCCCCCCCCCCACCCCCAATCCCAATACTGGACTTTCTCGGGAAATCCCCACGAAATATCGTACGAAAGAAAACAAAAGTACATATCCTTCCTCTAAAAATAAATATATATATTTATATATTTATACATATTTCCCTGTGTGGGTTCCGGGGCTCCATTGTGGGGTAAACAAGAGTAGACCGACTGCATCCCCTCCTCCTCCTCCTCCTCCTCCCCCTCTCCTTCCCAAAAAAGCATGTCGTAAGAGTAGACTAATTGGGAATTCCTTCGAAGTCTGAGTACATCTGACTGAGAGGCAAGGAACCAACAATCTGCATACAGTTAAGTCAAATCTGTTATACGGAACTCAAATTTTGGTACAAGACAAAAATCCAGAGGTGGGATAACAACCAGAACTATCCGCCGGAGTTTAACCCCCCCCCCCCCCCTCACCTACTCCAGAGTCAACATTTATGGTGCAGAGGGGATACGATAGTAGTTAGTCAACAGACAGTGCAAGCTGGAAGGTGCTAAAGAAGCATTGTCACAAGTGACGTCACTGAATCAGTCAGGGAACAGCTGCAAAATCACCATTGTATCTTCTAGTGTATCGTTGTTGTTGTCGTCACTGCAGTTATATTGAAGATATCCGTATTGTGGCATTGATGTCGATGTAGTCTGAATGTTTTGTTGTTAATGTTCTTGTGCTGGCGGTCTTATGACTTTAGTAAAATGATGATGATGATTATTGATCGTTATGACAATGATAATGATGATGGCGATGATGATGGACAACTTATTTGTGCCGTAAATGTCCACGAAATATTGAATGTTGTTTCGCCTAACAATGGAGATTTAAAAACTCTGGTTACAGGTTGGTGGTCATGGGAGCTGCTGGAGTTGGCAAGACGGCAATCATCTCACAGTTTCTCTACGATCAGTTTGTCAGTGAATACAAGTAAGTCAGACATCGTGATAACTGTCTGAATGTGTGTGTGTGTGTGTGTGTGTGTGTGTGTGTGTGTGTGCGCGCGCGTATGTGTGTGTGTGTGTACTTATTCCTCTCCTCCTCCTACTGTTTGTTTGTTTGTTTTTTTAGGTCTTCTCTTTCTTCTCTAAATATCTTGACGTGAACAATTATTGACAATCTTTTTAATCCTACAATTAATATTGTAATTCTACTTCTTCTTTGGTCTGCTAGAAATAGACTATCAACAAGCGTACACACACGTCAGGGTAGACAGTTGGGTCCCATGTGCCAGTACGTCGATCTTGCTTATCAGAATAATTAAAATTAGGTGCTGAAGTCGGAGTCAACCAGCCAGGGGGTGGCAACCAGCCAGGGGGTGGCAACCAGCCAGGGGGTGGCAACCAGCCAGGGGGTGGCAACCAGCCAGGGGGTGGCAACCAGCCAGGGGGTGGCAACCAGCCAGGGGGTGGCAACCAGCCAGGGGGTGGCAACCAGCCAGGGGGTGGCAACCAGCCAGGGGGTGGCAACCAGCCAGGGGGAGGCAACCAGCCAGGGGGAGGCAACCAGCCAGGGGGTGGCAACCAGCCAGGGGGAGGCAACCAGCCAGAAGTCGCACTATAAAAATCAGGATGCCACGCACAAACGCTATGGGAAATATATTGTAATCTTTTTTTTTTTTTTTGCTTGTTGCGTATCCTTTACAGGATAACGCCAGTGTATTTTTTTTTCTTTTGGCTGTTGTGATTTTTCTAGACCAATTCTACGTTCAGTAGTTTGCCATCGCCTCTAATTGGTCAGCTCGGGGTACCACTCTCAAAGCCCAAGACAAACCGTCTGCAGCTGGGATGAAACCCAGGCGTTCGCAACGCCTAAGCCACAGACGCCGACTGTGTAGTATGGTTTAATGTCCAGCTGTTTCATTTTTCAGTCAACAGCCTTATCTACTAGTAATATCGAATTGTTTTGTGCCTTCTTTTCCATTATTCATACACGTGGATGATTTGTCAATATCGGCACTTCTTTTGATGTATCCCATTGCTCGGGTATCTTTACTATTTTGAATATTGATCTAATGAAACCTGCCCATGTCGCTTCAATATTACTTGATGCCTCAGTGGGCTTTCATCAGACATCTTTATGTCCACTCATTTCTTCATTTCTCTCTCATTGACACCCATTATTTTTATTAAAAGAAGAGAAAACACAAAGCCTTGACGTCAGCAGATATTCACGACTATTGTGATATTTGTTTTTCTGGAAACTACGGGCAGTAAACAAGTGCTCGGAAGTGCTCGGAAGTGCTCGGAAGTGACATTTTCTCTAAGTCCACTAAATGAAGAATACCGTACCAGTCTATTACACAGGGCACGAAAAGCGTACACTATAGAAGGGAGACTCGCTTGTACCTTTACAGCTTTGACACCAGTATACTTACAGAATAAAATAGACAAATAGTAATAATATAGAGAAGTCTCTTTGTCTCTCTGTCTCTCTCTCTCTCTCACACACACACATACACGCACGCGCGCTCACACACACACACATATTCACACGCACACACACACAAACACACCACACACACAAAGTACACTTCAAGTGTCCCTACAGGTGACATTATGATACGATTTCCTTATAGTGCAAGGTCGGCTTTTATAGGCCATTGTCACTTTGTATAATTGTGATCATTGTACAGGCCAATTTTTTTTTATAACAGACCAAGCAATTTATTCGCTTTTTTTCTTCCACCGTTCATATAAACGATCTCAGAAACCTGTTATGTTACAGCTGTGAATATTCACGTCAATATTGTAAATGAACGAAATAGCTGGATGAATAGACGGTTATCGTTGTACACCACACTGATAAACGGCGGTTTTTATTACTGCACTGTATAGATGAGTAGGCTCTGTGGTTAAGTCGATGAGAATGCTTCGTAATGCCGGGATACCGGTTCGATCCCAGCTGTGGGCCATGTGCCTTGCGTTGGTTTCGACAGTGGTATCAAGAAATCCGACCATCCAGAAAGCAATGGCAAACTACTGGACGTAAATGTGCCTAGAAAAACCACACATCAGCCAGGGGCTGTTGGGGTTGGTTCTGCAAGGTCCTGTAAAGTATACGCAACTAACCTATATAGATCAGTGTGGTTTTGGAGGATTTCAAACGGTTGCAAATATGATACCTGCGGCTGTGAAAGATGTTTTATGGCTCTGCTTTCAATTTCCCCGCTGTCCAAACCTACTGTAAAACTTGCAGTTCTTTTGGTGTTTGATATACGAAGGATAGAACGACTTGGCGTGAGTCGTTTGAGGATCTATGCTCCAGTGGGGGCTAGAAAGGCAGAAGAAGAAGAAGATAACACCTTGCTAAAGTTTTTCAGTTGGCGACGTGTTTTGTGTTTAATTCAGCGTTCTATACATGATGTGATGATGATCTACTTGACAGCAAGCAAAAACCAGCACAGTTCGTCTTCCAATTTCTCCTTCTTCTTATCTTCTTCATCACATTCTCCTCCCGTCCTTCTTCTTTTTCTTGGTAATCATCATTATTATCACCATCACCACCTGTGTCATGTTCTTCTTCTCTCAGTGGTACCCATTCATATATTCATAAACCTGGACAGGTTCAGTGAGACGTAAGATTTTGACAGCACTGTCCCTGTTTTAGGAATGGAACAGCCTTTTGTGAGGGAGCTAGTAATGCGGGCTTCATGACGCAGAGCGGTATCCTAAATCCTTGTTATATACTCTCTTACAAAATAAGAATGTACAGATTTGTCTTCTTCTGAATCAATTAACAAATCATTATCATTACTGTCGCAGAGAAACGATCGAAGAACTGCACAGAGGCGAGTACGATACCAACGGAGTTCGGCTGACCCTAGACATTTTGGATACTTCTGGATGCCACTCGTTCCCAGCGATGAGGAAATTAGCCATTGACACTAGTGATGCCTTTGTACTTGTCTACTCCGTTGATGATGAATCATCATTTCAGGTAAATACTTTAAGTAGACTGTGGAGACAGAAATTCTTGGCTTCCTTATGGTTAGCTGATATTTGGTATTGACTGCAAGTATTTAGCAGATCTCCAGTCCTGTGGATACAGGTTTGATACATATTGCAGTAGAATGATTTTCAAAGTGACATTGGCTCTCAGGTCGTCTCACCACAAAATGTTCCCTAAGACGAAAAGACGTGCGTGACACTAACCTCATCACGCGCTAGACGAATGTCCATTGGTCTATTTACAAAATGAGGAGACCATCATATCTACAGTTTGCATAAACCTGCGAATATATTACCTTAACTTTTATTTTACCTGGACTTATGCAATCATGCAAGTGTATATTTGTTTCTCGTTTTGTTTAGCAAATCTTTCCATGTCGGATTCTTTGTCCGACTATGTGTGCCGCTCAAAAAACGTAAGAGACTGACACCTGACCATGTAATAACTTTCCCTATAGTTATCAATGGGTACATTGAAGCCAACCTCCTTTTGTGGAGTCGGCATAATTATTGTGTGTGGTACAGTATTTAGCCATTTGACGTCTGTATGAGCAAATAGGTCAATGTGCACATCAAGTTTAAAGAGTTGTTTATGTGGTAAGCTATGTAAAATATTGTGGATTTTTTATAAATAACTCAGTTTTCTTTCGTTTTCAGGCGGTCACTAGTCTCAGACAACAGATCTTGGAGGAGAAGCAGGACCGAGACGTGCCCATTGTCATTGTTGCCAACAAGACGGATATAGGCTCGGCCAAGCGCGTCATTTCCTCTGAAACAGCTGAAAGCCTTGTCTGTATGGACTGGGGTAATGGCTATATAGAAGCTTCAGCCAAAGATAATGTCAACATTGTAGGAATTTTTAAAGAGATCCTCAGACAGTCTAAAGTCAGATACGAGCTGAGTCCGGCTGTTAGAAGAAGGCGAGAGTCCATGCCAACAACAACAGATAAAAAGAAGAATAAATTAGCCAAGAGAAGGACACAGAGTGTAAACACATAAAATACCATAAATAAAGGTATCAATGAAGCCAAATTGCTGACCTTACCCTGCCTAGCATTGATAAATACAGTCTATAAACAACATAATTTACTGTACGAGCTATAACCTTGACTGAAAGCTGTAGATTTCATGTCAGTTAAGAATAAGAACAGTTCTTTGACAAATTACAGACAAAAGTGACCTAGTTCACGGCAAATTAAGATTGGGACTGAGGGTTCGCTACACAACATGTGCCTCTAAAAGTTGGTTGGAAATATGACACTGAATTATATACATTGTATTGCCTTGATTTCTCATTTCTACCAAAAGTTATCTCAGTTTCATTCAAACAAGTTTTTACCATTTACACACATCTTCAAGAAGGCCCCGCATGGTCATGCCGTGAGGTGAATGCTTTTTGTATTCACTTGCAGAAGACAATCAATGTTTACCCACTACTTTTGTTATATTTTTATGAAGCATTATTTTTGTACATAAATAACTCATGTGCTTGTATTTTCATTGTCAGTAATTGTTATTAAAAACAGGCTTGTAATTATCAGACATGTGCTCATCAGTACCTACAAATTCCTAAATGGGCTGGGTTAACTACAGATTTTTCAGTCAATCAATCAGGTGCCATCTCCACAGTAGAGGTTGGTTGTAATGGATCTCCAGCATGCTATGTCTCTTGTTCTGGTTGTATACTCTCATACTGCTGCCCGTCCATCTGTTGATGTTGTTCTCCCACTTGTATAGTTGCCTACCTATTCAAGATCGACTTTTTTCTCCAGTATGATTTTTAATAGTGTTCCATGTCTTTTAATGTTGCCACAGTATTTCCATTGTCTCTTTTTGTTTTAAATTTTTTTCAGTTTTTCTCTTTTCATTTGTAGCCGTTCCAGAACCTCTGTGTTGGACTGTTGTTGTTTCCTAAAATACGATCTATTCTTCTGTATACCCACGTCTCCAGAGACTCAATTCGATTGTCTAGTTGCTTGTTTATTGTCCAAATTTCTGCGCCGGACTAAGTATACATAACATTTGACGATTTTCGTGTTTAGTGTGGTATCTCCCTGGCTGTCAGTAACTAGCAGATCTTATTGAAGACAGTTTTAGCCATTCCTATTTATTATCTTTTTGATTTCTGTTTCGCTTCTGCTATCATCTGTTACTCTGTGTCCAAGATAGGAGAAACTTGTTACTCACTTGAGTCCACCCTGTTTACATGTTGCTCCCAACTCATCTCATCTCGTCTTGATCCTCTTGTGCCTTGCGATGTCCAGGGCAAGTATAATTTACGGAAGAGTGCCTATTTGTGTGCTTCGCAAATGGCGATTCCCAGGAATTGTGATACTCTCTCCGTCCATAGTTGGCATGGTCGGCCTCTTCTTCGCTTCCCACCTGATGTGCACATCATTTTGTGTGTGTGTGTGTGTGTGCTGTGGTATACTGTTTGATGGCAACCTGTTATATGACCAAACCATTTCACATGATGTTTTCTAATGAAATCCAGAGCAACCACTATCCCAATGTTTCATCGGATTTTATCTCTCTGTGTTATATTAGGAATCGTTCACAGGATTATCCTTTCAGTGGTTGCAATTTTTTCTTTCTTTTTTTTCTGTCTTTGTCCAGGTCTGGCTTTTATGGCACAGAGTTGGCAAGAAAATTGTGTCATAGAGTGCTCTTTTTGTTTCTACTGACACATTTTTGTTTCTCAATATTTGTCCAGTGCATTGGTTTGTCTGTTACACCTGTCATCTTCTGCTTTGCCAGCGGATGATAATATGTTTCCTAAATATTTGAAGATCCCTTGGTTTGTTTCAAAGGCTTCTCTTTACCCTGGATAGCTGCTCCCTACTTTCCTACTTAATTTTTCCTGCTCACCAGTTGAGCAGCGACAAAACTGGAAACACTAATTATGGATGATTTTACTGACAAGACATGTTTGCTTCCACAATATGCATGTATATAAGATTTCCTGCCGCCTTGATGTCCATGTAGACGACACCTACAATGGATGTACCGTTTGCTCGCTTGTGTGTTTTTCTATGGAATAAATTTTATAATAAAATATCAAATACTGTTGGTTTATTGTTTATTCAGTATTGAACTGTTGCAGCTGTGGAAGTGAGAGAGCGTTCTACAGAGAGACTTCAGTGTTGCCAAGGTTGTAATCAACACCTGTAAGAAATATTGTAGCAAGCAAAGGAAGTCGACGACTCTTCTCGCAAGATCAACATAACGGGTATATGGTGCTATACGTGAATTTGTATAAACCAGTAGGCCATCAGTGTCGGAAATGGTCAACATCACGCTAGCCGACTTGATTTCCAAGTCATCTTTTTGGTTTTTTATTTTTAACCTGATCGACTGGGAAGTCGATTACAAAAATCCACCTCTATATGGAATCAAATCCTAAATACTAGAGGTATGTAGGTAGGTAATCTGTACCCTACCAGGACATCACACAAACGATAAACTCCCAGCGACACAAAGTGCCAGCATGCAGATAAGGATCACAAATAGAGAGGTCCCTGAAACCCCGTTCAGCCATTAGGCCATATTTTATGCCAGGCTATGTTTAGGGCCCCCAGCAAAAGCGAGGGTGGGGGCTTCAAAATAACTAAAAATTGCATTCCACATAGGGACAACAGTGAATTAAATATTACAGTAGGCATGTAAGCGAAAAAGAAAAAGAAGAAGAAGAGGAAGAAGAAGATAATGAAAATCTAGATATACTGGGTCGGTGGTTGGGGAGAGGGGGTATATACCAACATACAAAATGACAAATAAAGCTACAGAAACGCTGAATAATAATAATATCAGATTCGTTATATTAGGACAAGTACAGACATTTAAGTATCTATGCCCATGGATACCATCCAATAGAAGATGTATCACAGAGATACAAAACAGAAGAGGACATTGCTAAAGATGCCTTTTATAAAATGAAGAACATGTAAGGTAATAAATCCCGTTCACTGGAGGTTGCAAACAGAATTCTTCCATGATATATAAAGCCAGTTTTAACATATGGTTGTGAATCATAGACAATTAATAAACAAGCCAAACATTTTCTTGAGGCCTCAAAGATGTTGTCTGAAACAGCAAACCAAATTTTTTAAAGAGAAAGCTCCAAGACACTTATCGAAAACGTCATAATTCTAGTAATTTTAGTCTTGCTGTGAGATGAGGGAAGCTGGAAAATGTTGTGACAACTGGAAAGATTTTTTGAAAAATAGCCAAACGAAGACAATGCGAGACTATTCTTGATAACCTTTCGTATGGGGCGTCGCGATGTCGACACACGGAGTGATACAAGAAGTTGAAGATCGCAGATTCTGAAGGGGCATGATCACCCACGTCAGTCGGCAAGGCACGATCATGATAATGAGGATGATGATTATAATGATGATGATGATGAGGATTAGAATGATTATGATAATGATGGGGATGGTGATGATGATGATGGTGATGATGATAATAACAGTAGTAAATTCTTTTAACAATAGTATTATGTTTATATTATGCCGGATTCTATAATACTGTTATCTATAGAGATATATATCAAAACTCCCGCCTGGTCTCTGTAATCTGTCTATACGACCTTACGAGTGTTTGTGTGTGTGTGTGGGTGGGTATGTCTGTGTGAGCGCGCGCGATCGCATGCGTGCATGTGCGTGTGTGCGTGCGTGCCTGTCTAATTTCCCTCAGTAAATTGTATTTAATGGAACAATTTGGCAGATAAATAGAACTACTGGTGTCGTGTTTCGGTCGGTGCTTCCATCAGCTCTGCTAATTCACCAATAGGGTTAACAGGACTAGTCTCTTAACGTCAGATCACGGCCGACTCCAGTCAAGCAGGCCTCACGCAACTCTCCAATCAGTCAACCAAATACCGTCTCCACAATTATGGTTATTTAACGGATCAGCATCATGGCACACGGGTGTAACCCATAAGTGCTCCGTTCGACTTCTAACTCAAGCCCAAATCTGAAGTTTTCTAGCGCAGTGCACGAACACCGTATCATTAGTGTGAAACATTTTCTAATTTGTGTTTAAACTCGATTCAGCGAGACACATACAAACAAACGTGCATACATACGTACATGCAAACGTACGTAAATACATACATACACACACACACACACACACACATACACACACGCACACATACACAGACACACAGACACACAAACACAGACACACAGACAAAACTGACACACAGACATACATACAGACATACATACATACATACATACATACATACATACATACATTCATTCATTCATTCATTCATTCATACATTCATTCATACATTCATTCATTCATTCATACATACATACATTCATACATACATACATACATACATACATACATACATACATACATACATACATACATACATACATACATACATACATACATACATACATACATACATACATACATACATACATACATACATACATACATACATACATACATACATACATACATACATACATACATACATACATACATACATACATACATACATACATACATACATACATACATACATACATACATACATACATACATACATACATACATACATACATACATACATACATACATACATACATACATACATACATACATACATACATACATACATACATACATACATACATACATACATACATACATACATACATACATACATACATACATACATACATACATACATACATACATACATACATACATACATACATACATACATACATACATACATACATACATACATACATACATACATACATACATACATACATACGTACGTACGTACGTACGTACGTACATACATACATACATACATACATACATACATACATACATACATACATACATACATACATACATACATACATACATACATACATACATACATACATACATACATACATACATACATACATACATACATACATACATACATACATACATATACATACATACATACATACATA